TTTGATAAGAAACAGTTTGGGGCACATTACAGAGGACCCTAGAATTGCCCGTAATGCTGGCCCTACAGTGGACTCAACAGTGGGCTCTTCATTGGACCCTAGAGTTGGCTGTACAGTGGCCAAGAGTACAGAGTACAGTAAGCTCAACAGGAGGCTCTACCATTGACCCTACAATGGACCCTACAGTGGGCCATAGAGTGGACCATAGAGCTTGCTATACAGCAGGCTCCACAGTAGAGTGTTTCCTACCAACCAGTCAGTCTCAGTGCCTGCATGCCAAATCCTAAAGGTGTCCCGACATACTTCATCCGAACTGCCAAAATCGGTTCTCAGTGATGTGAATGTGTGATGAAAATTGTTTTGTTTGCAGAGAGGCATCCACCTGCTGAACTCCAGGCCCTGGTCGAACATTTTCTGTTCAAAGTGTTATCTGATTGGTCAGAAGTTAATTGCTGTTCTTTATGCAGAAATGCGCTCAGACGGATGAAGTATGTTGGGGCCTTAGTGGTCTGGTAATGTGACGATCTGGAAGCAGAGTGGGAGCTTTTGCATCCCTTATAGCAAGATTGTGATTCAAACAAATAAAAACAAAGTCCCGCTACTGCTGCTGTGCGAGTTGAGGCTTACTAAACACTTTTGCAACTGACGAGAGCATAATGGCTGCTGTTGGTGCTCTGTGGTGACTCTTGACTTCTGCTGCTCCTGCTCAGCCTTCGCTGGTTCTTTCTCAATGCATAAGATTCAACTTCAGACAAGAGCCATCCATGTCAGTGTCTGACCATCCCACTCGCTCCTGATCCTCTCGTTTGTTTGTCGTGTTTGCTGATGACATCCAGTTGGGATGAGTCTTCTCGTTGTAAAGGTGTGTGCGTGCCTGAACCCCCTTGTGAACGTTGACATGTGTTTTTTGTGGATTTTTTTGAGCGTGGTTGCATCATACCGTGGTGCGTCTCGTGTTGCTTGCGTTCTGAGCCGAGGGGTGGTGATGTCCAGTCGTTCAGGAACTGAGCGAGAGCAGGGGCGCACAGTGGATCCCAACGGTCATGAAACGGGGTTTGAAAACCTTTCTCTCAGACTGGAGCCCTGAGCCGTGCTGCATGTGGCCTGTCATCACTCAACATCGCAGTCTGGGTGAATCATGGGATGGATTTTGGCAGCCTGGCATCAAACACAGCAATGAGGTTTGATGTAGCAGCAGCAAGTGTTGACGAGAGCGTCCTACTTCCCTCTGCCGCTCAGGTGTCTCTGCTGGAGTACCGGAAGAGGAAGCAAGGAGGCAGCAGCGGCAGAGCAGGTGAACCAGCAGCCAGGAACGTCGCCCCCACCCAGCCGGACTCCTACTGCAGCAAGGAACCCCACCTGGCCCGCTCCTACCAGCAGATGCAGCCCCCTTCCTCCCCACACTCCACAGCTCCGGTCCCACACCTGGAGGAGGTCAGCCCGCCGGACCACCACAGGGCGCCGCTCAAGCCCAGGCGGCAGGAGTGCAGCAACCAGTGGTGAGAGTGGCTCCACCTCTTGTTTCTCTCTGGTCGGTGATAGGAACCCCCCCCGCCCCCTCTGACAGCTCCCTGCTCCTCCATAGGATGGTCCCCACCACAGTGGAGCGCCTGAGGGAGGGCCAGCGCGTGCTGAGAAGCATCAAGATGGATCGGGTCTACAGACGGAGTGACGGATCAGCAGACGCAGAGCCAGGTGCGGCGGCAGTTTCGGGGGTTCAGGTCAGTGGAAGAAACGAACCGGACGGGGCCGTGACGCTTCTGTCTCCGTCTCCAGATGCAGAGCGATACGAGCGGAGAGGAGGAGCCCTGGCTGCTTCCACCAAGAGCCCCCACAGATACAGCCCCCCCCTCTACGCACAGCAGGTAGGACCAGCAGCAGCACTCACCAAAATGATTTGTTGGTTTAAATTCCTAACAGTAGATTTCCTTTGATAAGCGGAAAGTCAAAGTTCCTAATTCCGAAGTATTCGCGCTCCTGGAAGATTAAAATTTAAAATCATTTTCATTCTAACAAGATATTAATTTTCTTATCTTTCAAATGACAATAAAACAATGTGAATATTGTGTGTATTATGAAGAAACAGCAGGTGGGAAACCCTCTCGGCAACCAGTGGGAGCATCTGCTGCCATTAGAAGCCTTTCCTGGTTGCTAAGCAGCTTTTTGCTTTTTGCACTGATAACATGCTGTCCTCTGTCCTCTGTCCAGTCAGCAGAAGTCCTCCCAGAGACAGACGGCCCGTCCTTCACCCACCCCACAGCCAGCTCTCCGTTCCAGAGCTCCTCCACCCAGAGCTTCTATCCTCGCTTCTCCTCCTCCCACCCGGGGCCGTCCCAGGATCCCCAGAGCTCCTACTGCAGTCCCCCCCCCACACAGCCCACCAGCGACGGACCCCCCAGCTACAGCAACAGCCACCTAAAGACAAGCTTCCTCGGCAGCAGCAGCCTGTTGGAGGGGGCCGCTCCAGGCCCACGGACCCAGGGACAGACTAAGGTAGACGTGGGCCCTCAGGCTTCTAGAGGAGGTCAACAACAGGTGGCTGTCAGCCTGAAGGTGAACAGCCCGGGACAGGGGGGGCAGCCGGCCGGCTCCAGGCTAGCAGGACCCTCCCCACACTACCCCCAGCAGTTCCAGCACCCCCCCCACCAGGGGCCTGGAGTAAGGACGCAGTCAGGAAGCTTCTAGGACCTTCTTTCAGCTGTGTGTGCGTGTGCGTGTGTGTGTGTGTGTGTGTGAAGCTAAAGGCCCCCTGGGGTTCAGGGAGCTGGAGGGGCCACATGTACAGACCTGAGAGGAGCCAGCCAGGACTCTGGACAGATTCCTCCTTTTCCTGTTTTCTGTTTTTGTTTTTGTTTTGTTTTTCTTCATTTTCAGGAAAAGAACTTGACAGCAGCGTGCTCATAGATAAACCTCCAGCTCCTGGACGTCAGGACAGAGGGAGACGGGAAGCAAGCAGCCTGGAAAACACGGGAAACCGGATTGAAAACTCCCGATTATCCCAGAACTTTCCTACTCTTCTTCTTCTTTGGCAAAAAAGGAAAAAAATTCCACATCGATGTCTGCACAGAATGCTAAGTTAGCCTTCCTGTTGTCATGGTTACCAGGTTGGTCAGATGCTGACATGCGTATTTGGTGAAAACCGACAGATGTTCCGTTTTCTTCTCGTATTACTCAGAGGAGGGGGGGTGATGACAGGCAGGTGGGGGCGGGGCGTTCTCCAGGATCATTCCAGAAGCGTTCTTCATCATGTGAGTGGTGGTGTGCTGGGAGCTCCGCTCCTCCATCCAGCTGCAGGCCTCCATCTCCATGCTCCTTCCCCCTCATTCATGGTGCTGCCAACCTTTTTTCCTCCCACCAACGTCTGATCCAGTTGGGCCCACCACCACCGCATCAGCTCCCCATCCGTCTGGAGTCATCCCGTTCAGGAGCAAAGGGATCAGGGTTGCAGACACGCCTGGATTTGTCCGACCAATCTTTGCATTCCATGTGACAGAGAGCAGAGCGAGTTCACTGCCAGAGGAGATGGAGCTGCTGCTGCTGACGGTGCCAGCTGCTGTGGCGGCGACTACCCGGTGGTGACCGCTGCAGCTGCACTTCCTGTGGGGTTCTCTCTCGCTCTCTCTCTGTCTGCTGCTTAATTTGTTCCATTTTTTTTCTCTCTATTCTTAAACAACTGACGTGTAAAAAGAGACGGTTTTCTGCAGCGCTCAGACTGAGGTGGAGGAGACCTGTGAATCCCCCCCATTCCCCCTACTCTCTTTATGTGACTGGAGTTCAGGGCCTGAAGTGGTCGTGGGTTGTGGGGTGGGGGAACTGTATTTGTGGGAAAGACTTGAATGACTGAGGAACCCCCCCACGCCCCTCTCCACCCACTGCCCCACCCACCGGCCACTACAACCCCTTCCCTCGTAACCCCTCCCCCCCCCACCAGATTCCATGAATGTGTGACAGAACAGCAACATGAACGTTGCTAGCTAACACAAAGCAGCACCTTAAAAACACATCCACCCTGAAAGCACCCAGCAGCAGGACTCTGTGTGTGATTCTGTGTACCTGTATAGAGAGAATGTGATAGAGCTGTATGGAGAGAGGATCTAGTACACTGAATTCCCGGCGTGATGTCAGTAGAGTCTGACTGAGCAGCTGGGGTCAGACGCTTTGGAGATCTGACTCCCTGGGTTCCTTCAGACGCCACTTTCTTTCTCCTGTTGTTTTTCTAAGAAGTTTTCTGTTGTTTTTCTTCTTCTTTTTTTTTCCACAGATCATAGTAGAAACTATTTCAATTGTTCTCTAAGAGATTTAAGAAGCAACAGATGTAATGCATTTTGATAATAAAATAATCATAACAGCAAAGTATTTTTTAACCCAGCCTCGTCATTGTCATGTTTAGGTGGTCATCTCATATTCCACAGCTTTGTAAGCTATCGACTTCTTTCCTTTCTAGTACACAAACTTAAAAAAACAACTTAAAATTAAAACATAATTAAAAGTAGATCGAAGAACATACCTGGTGTCAAAGGGATGGCTTACCATTGTTTTAAAGAGGTTCTGTTAAAAGAATTTAATGAGTTATTTTACCAGCAGTCGATGGACAGTGCGTGTTTACATGGGAAATTAAGCTAGCTGGAATGATTTTTACTCTTCTGTTAGGTGTTCACTCAGATTTTGTCGTCAGTAGGGCTGCACTGATTACAGTTTTCTAGATGATCGCCAATTATCGATATTTAAAAAGCCTTTCCTGCCAATACCATTTTTTTTTGTCTTAAATGTGGCTAAATATAGCAAGAAAGTTGATGAGTTGGTAACAGTTGGGTGACTGCTGTCAGCTTCAATCATGCAGATATGGTGACCTGGTGGGCCAGTCTATCAGTCAAACCTCTCTGACGGGACAACAACGAAGGGCGGTGGTTGATTTTTAGACCTTTGCTGAGGTTTATGAGATCTGCTTCATGTGTAAGTATCGGCCGATCACAGATCTCCCAAAATGAAGGAAATCTCAGTGTGTGTTTCAGACAGGAAGATGGTTGGTGTTGTGTCGCCTCCTGCCAGTGTTCAACAATTATCATGAGCATTGAAGGTTTCAAGGCTTATAGAATAGTGTTTGTAGAAACGGTTGATATTTTTGAGACTGGAAGACCATTAAGAAAGTAAAAGTTTTAGCTTCCTTCCACTCATCTGGATTGACGCAGAGTTTTATTCTGCCGCTAAGAAACCTACAGGATACAATGTAAAGAGGAATTTTCACCCTCAGTTCAGTCAATTAAAACTCTTCAGAGCCACAAATGTTACATGAACTTTCTGGAAAAAAAGAAAGATAACCATCTACTTTTGGAATTTTGTTATCCCAGCTGGCTTTTACTGCTGTACAGGTTTTATTTTTTTATTAAGAACACAATTATTACCAAACACATCAACCAATTTAACAATCCTGGAAAAAGTTTGGTACAGCATAAAGTAGTCATCTTTATAGTACAAGTAGTTAAGTGAAAATGTAATAAAACATTTGATTTCTTTTAAATTTCTTTGTAAATAGGTTCACATCTACGGATTTTTGCTGCACCCAAATCTGCTTAATTTGTTAAACTTGACTAAATACAGAAAGTGTTATCTAAGTCTCTAAGGGCAGATTTATTTTTATCAAGTCCAAACAAATTGCAAACTAGATGTCTTTCTTAAGAGAAATGTGTAAACGCAGTGCAGAGATTAAAGGAATAAGTTTAAAAAACGTTTGCTGTCACATTATCCTTAATAATTTGGAATTAACGGACTATGACATTTATTTATGCTTGTGATGTAAAACCCTAACCACTAGGTGGCGGTAAGGCGCCACAACGTTGTTTGTCAGGGTGGTTGTCACGTGATTCAGTCAACTTCCTGTTTATCACTTGTTTTGTGCAACTCAGACCGCTGGACTGTCCTGTTGGACCTGTCGGTCACATTAACTGCAGCCGCGTTAATTTCGTCTGAGAATTATTTAACCTGGTCCTGTTCGTCGTCATGGTGATGTTCCACTGAGCGGGCTTGGAAGGATCCTGGAAATTTCCTGATTTCAAGTTCGGAGAGGAGCCCCGAAGAGATAGTACGGGTTTTCCACAGGAATAGAAACCAGACTAAAAGCATCAGCCTCGATGTGCAAAACTGGCTTCACCGAAACATTACTAGCTCTGTAGCTGCGTAGCTAACCCCGGGACCACCCCGGGACCAGGTCGCCGCCTGCGGCCCGACAGCGGCTCGTGTCTTCCTGGGGTGGAGCTGCTCACCGCTGCCGTGAATTCAGGACGACCGCCCGGCTCTGGCCCCCTCAAGCGGGCAGTCAGGAAGAAGCTCGCCGGGAAGGGATGGCCTGGTCGGTCTTCCCGTTCCAAAGGACAGGGCTCTGCGGTCTTTGAAGGAGGACGAGTGCGGCTGGAGGCGACCACCGCGGCTCGAGACGCCATGATGGCCGCCTCCCCCTTCGCGGCCGGCGGCTTTACGGTTTCCGGTCTGTCGGTGAGAAAGAGCGAGCAGATTGCGGATCTGATCGATCTGTTCTCCAAGACACAGTATCGAGCAAAGGAAGTCAGTCCTCGGGTAAGATGTTTTCCGATTTAGAGTTGGGTATTAATTAGTTACATTTACTCAATTACATTTACTTGAGTAACATTTTGGAAAACAACAAAAACTTTTTGGAGTATTTTTACTATACTGTAGTTTTTACTTTTACTTGAGTAGTTTTATTATGAAGTATCGCTGCTCTTGAGTAAAATTTCTGGATTATTTACCCACTGAATAAAGAAGAACCAAAAAAATCATCAGACACAGACACACACCTGCAGTTTTTATTAAAGCTTCATAAGCTTTTTTTTTTTTTTTTGGAAAAAAACTGTTTTGGAATTTTTTTTTTTTTTTTTTTTACCTGATTTTGTTATATGTTGTTACTTATGAATTATTTACATTTCCATCCATAGAATACCAACATTTGCACATAAATGTATATTTTAGTCCAGGGGTGCCGGTAGTCACAACCTCCTCAGCAAGTCAATGTTCTCCTTAGGTCTTCTAATGAGCCATCATTTGATGCAGGTGTGCTGAACCAGGGAGAGATCTAAAACATGCAGGATGCCGGGCCCTCAAGGACCGACTTTGGACACCCCTGTTTTAGTCCATCTGATGTAATTTGTAAATATTAAAGGATAATTTGATCAATTACTCAGTATTTAAATAGACGTTTTACTAACTACTTTTTACTTTTATTTGAGTTAGAATTATGTTGAAATAACTACTTTTACTTGAGTACAATTTATGGGTGCTTTACCCACCTCTGATATTAATTCAGCATGTTACCATGTCCCTCCTCCTCAGGTGGAGGCGATAGAGAAGCGATGTCTGGAGCTGTTTGACAGAGACTACAAGTACAGCATCATCTCTAACTCCAGCGGCGAGGTCTGCGGCCACTACCCCCGCCAGATCGTTTTCTTGGAGTACGAGTCTACAGAGGTGGACAGAGACAGAGACAGGTACGTCCCCCGTCAGAGAGCAGCCAGTGTCTCTGAGGCAGAGGGAGGAAGTGACAGCTGTGCAACGTGACTTTACACTGCTGCAGAAACGGGAAACATGCAGTGATTCAACAGATCCTTCTGTCTTACCACTGACTGTTGGCGTGGCGACAGTGTCTCTTCCAGCACTTGGCTTATGTGCTCACAAAATCTTTCTCGCCATAATATTTTGTGGCTGTGTAATGGCTTGTAAACTCGCAGAAATGGCTCAGTGCTCTCTGACAAGTCTTCACTTGTTGTCTGTTGCAGATTTTTACATGTATTTTTTCAGTGTGCTGGTTATAGAAATATTCTGAATTTCCTCAGATTTCAGTTCCAGATGTTGTTTGGTCATAATTGGTCCAGGATTTGTGTCATGACTTAGTAACTGCTGCTGTATTTGGGTCTGATTGGTTCTGCTCCAGAAAAAGCTTCACTTTTCTGCCGAGCCTCAGTCAAAGGGGAAGCTCCTGTGTGTTTGGTTGTAAAAAGAAAAAAGAAAAAAAAAACTGCTCATTGCAGATCAGTCTTCTTCTGTTTATTGTAAGAAAAAGGACAACAGGAGAAAATTTAGTTGGATGTTCCCATGACAACCCGGCAGGTCCTCTCAAACAGCCCAAGCTGCTGCCGACCTCGTTGGTTTAAAAACACTAAAAATGTAGGTTATTTAATGCCACCCCCTGCTCATGCTGACCACCAGCTTGGTCACACACTGCTGTGGGACGCTGCAGCCCAAATTAATTTAAGTCCAGATTAGTCCAGCTATCCTCACAGATTTATGACGCATGGTGAGCCTCTTCCATTTACTGACAGACTGAGTTAAAGAGCAGGTTGTGGTATGTCCGTGTGTGTGTGTGTGTGCCTATTTGTGTGTTTGTGTGCGTGTAGGTTTGAGAGCACGGTGCAGATCAGCAAGCTGCAGGACCTGGTGAGCAGAAGTAAAATGGCTCGCTGCAGAGGAAGGTTCGTCTGCCCCGTCATCCTTTACAATGGCAAGGTGGGTCTGTCCGTCCGCGGTGCTTCTCCTCTGCTCTGTGCTGGATGTTTAAAATCAACGCCACAAGTGAAACGTGTCAAATTCCACCCAGAAATACTGGACATACGCCGGGCTTTTCAGGTCGAAAAGCTTTTTTTTTTTTTTTTTTCTCCCCCCACTAGTCTTGAGGAAAGGACAACCTGACCTGTTGCTAGGCAGAGTAGCTGTTTGTTCATGTGTTCATTCTCTGATTTCTTCATCCACTCTGGTATATGTTATGGACAGTGTTTCTGAATATTTCTTCACTGTTCTCTTTCTGAAAACAAGTTTGTTTTTTTTTTTTTTGTTTTGCTTTTTTGTTATTCCAAGCAAAAAAGTCTGCAGTTCATTAGAGTTCAGCCCCAATTCCTCTGATGCCCCCTAAAAAAAAAAGTCAGCAGTTGTTCAGATCTGGTCTCGTCTGATCAGGTCTGTTTTCCTCCCTGCAGCACATTTGCCGCTCAGCCACCCTGGCAGGTTGGGGGGAGCTGTACGGGCGGACGGGCTACAACTACATCTTCTCAGGTAAAAGAAAAAACAACAACCTAAAAAAATGCAGCTTTTTCACACACATAACCCAAAAGGGGAAGTTCTGCAGAAAGATTGTCGGTTCAGATTTCAGCTGTGAATAGCAGGAGCAGCTGTTCCTCCATGTTTTAACCACTGAAAGCCGCCTTCAGCCATTTCTTCTTCTGCTGTTTGCTCTCTCATGAGAGACTTTTGCTCCCTAGTCTTTTAACATCCAACCTTTCCTGGTGCGTGTCTGCAGGGGGCAGTGATGACACCTGCACTGAGCCAGAGGAGGTTCCCGAGGACGACCCGGCAGT